CTTCCTGACAGCGCTTCCTCTGCGTCTTTTGGATCTGGCAAGTATTTCGCCGCTAGAAGTTCTTGCGTTGAAAAATTGGCTGTAGGGTACTCCTTTCTTGGTCGGCCAGGTTTTCCTGTTCTAATATACCTTGGTCTTCCTCTTCCTCTTCTAGAAATGACCACTTCACTTTCTGACGGCTCGTCCACTAAATCAGACATCTCTAGATCCGATTCACTTTCAATTTCAGTTTGTGATTTAGCTTCGGACGTGCTTCCCTTTTCTTCAACTAGAGGAATTTCCTTGACAAAAGGATCTTTTTGTGGACTAACATCGATTTCAATGACTTCATTCCTAATTTTGGACAATTCTGGTTCAATAAAACGTACATCTCTACTTTTTATAATTGTACGTGTACCAGGCTTCCAAAGTCTGTATGCCTTAGATTCTGTGAAATACCCTATTAACTTGTATTCCTCACTGCGAGGTGCGAATTTAGATCTATTCGGCCTATTATTCACGGCAAACGATTTACTTCCTATAATTTTTAAATGAGAAACTACAGGTTTTCTTTTGGTAAATAACTCATGTGGAGTTTTACAATCGTAATTTCTCGGGCATCTATTTCTGATAAAAGTTGATGTATGTATCAATTCAGCCCATAAAGTTTCAGGTAAATCACCTTCGATCATGAAGCACCTAGTCATATCCAGTAGAGTTCTATTCGCTCTTTCAGCGACACCGTTCTGTTGAGGTGTATATTCTACAGAGAGCTGACGTCCTATACCTTCTCCTTCTAGGTAATCTTTGAACTCTTTGCTAAGGTATTCAGGCGCATTATCACTTCTAATACATTTCAACCTTTTTCCGGTTTGCTTCTCAGCATAATTTTTGAATATTCTAAATCCTTTGAATACTTCACTTCTTGATTTCATTATAAATGTGAAGATAAATCCTGAGAAGTCATCAATAAATGTTGAAAAATAAAGGGCGCCACCCAATGATTTTGTTCTCATGGGACCACAAATATCAGTATGGATCAGCTCCAGTGGTTCCCTTGCTCTCGTAAAAGACTCTTTCTGAAAAGGTAGCCTTGTTTGTTTACCTTTCAAACAAACTTCACAGGTAAAATTTTAAACATCAAAAATTGGCAGGCCGTATACAATATTTTGCATTTTTAGCTTTTTGAGATCTTGCAAATTTAAATGGCCAAGTCTACTATGCCATTTTTCGTAATTTTTCTCTCCAGCTATGCAAATTTCACTTGTCGCTAATGCCTTAGGACAATTAATTTGACTTAAGATGTAAAGTCCATTCCTTTCATAGGCCTGTATGCAAATTTTTGTATGCAAATTCACTATTTCAGCCTTTCTGTACTTGAAATTTACAATATTAAATTTACTTGTGCACTTACTGATAGAAAATAGATTTCCATTTAATCTAGGTACAAACAGCACATCTTCTAAGGATAGGGTTACAGTTCCAGTATTAGTTTTACAATCCAATTTTACATTCCCCTTTCCTATAGCTTCAATGAATTGACCATCTGCCAGTGTAATTTTTACTGGTGCAGTGTCTTCAAAATAAGTGAATGATCTCTTTGTGCTACACATGTGGGCAGTTGCACCACTATCCAAGCACCACTCGTTTGCATCAAGTTTGTTTAAACATTCGATTCCTAATGATGCAACCATTTCAGTTTTAGGGTTCCTGGATTTTCTTTTTCTGCAGTCGGCAGCTTTATGCCCCTTTTTTCCACAGAAGTGGCAGCTAAATGGGAATCCCTTTGGCTTTGGTTTTGATGTGCTGGGAAAATTCTTTCTTTCTGGGTTTCCAAGGAAAGCTTGTTCGGTATTAGTTGTGCCGTTCAATTGAGTTTGCCTAATTTCCTCCTCCAGCACTTTCACTTTTAAAGCCTCAAAGCTAGGCAGTTCGTCCCTAGTTTCAATGGCAGTTCTAAAACCCTCATAACTCTCGGGAAGGCTACACAACAGAAGGATGGAAAGGAAGTCTTCTGGGACTTGTGCATCCATTTCACTCAACTTGTCAGCCAAACTGCTAAATTTGTTGAGATAATCCTGCATCCTTTCATTTGGTTTCATTTTCAATAATATTAACTGTTTCGTAAGAAACACCTTCGTTGCAGGTCCTTTTGGCTGATGCACTTCATTTAAAAGCTTCCATGCCTCTGCAGAAGTTTTACATCTCTTCACGTGTATTATTTCTGAAGGACTTAAACTTAGAACTATAGTTGCTAGCGCCTTCTGGTCATTCTTCTCCCATTCAGAAGATTCTACTTCGGTTTCAGGTTTGATCCTTATGCTATTTGCATAATCCCAAAGTTCGGAATGAATTAGAATCATCTTCATTTGCATCTTCCATGTCTCGTAATTTTCAGAATTTAATTTTTCTATTTGATAAAGGCTTGACATTTTGAATAGTTTCTTGATGCTACAAATTCTTTAAAGTAATCCTGGGCCCATAACCTGTTGAAAAAAGGAGGAAGATAGGAGAGGGCACTGAACACCGGAGGATTTTTATTAAACCGATCACGGTAAGATAACACAACTAACTAACTAACCAAGACATCCATCTATATATACACCGCAACACACCACAGAGTAACCGGTCACTGGTCAAAACAATTATATCATGAAATCCGAGAGAATTGCCATTTTAACAGAATTCACGGATAATTTGATAATTGTATGCTCCTATAACGAATGTGTCCTATACCTATTTAATTTGCATATCCATTTGAGCTATCCTTGATACTATACAGGGTGTACCAGGTAAATTGGGACTAACTTTGACAGTCCATAAAACAAAAACTACTTGAGATTAAAAACTTGTTATTTTTTCATTACGTAGCCATATTCATGTAAAATGCAACAGTACATGTGTGCGCAGTGTAGTGATGAAGAGTAACCGATAATTTGAAAATCGAGCTGCCATCATCGTTGCTCTGCGCGCCGGAAGGAGCCCCAAAGAGATAGTGGATTTTCTTAAGTTGCCCAAAACCACTATTTATCGTGTCAAGAAGCAGTTTGATGAGGCCGACAGTAACAAAGAGGGGATAGCTACAAGGAAAAAGCACTCGCGTCGATCGGACAGGGTAAGAGGCGAAGAATTTGTCAAAAATGTCAAGGAGAAGATTGATGGAAACCCTGGGAAGAGCATGAGGGCCATAGTCAAGGAAATGGACGTTGGCTCTATGACAATTGTCAGAACTATCCATGAGGACCTTGGTCTCAAGTCTTATGCCCTTCGGAAAGGTCAGTTGCTGACTGAGAATATGAAGAATAACAGAAAAGGAAAGGCTGCTGCCCTCCTCAACAACCTGAAACACGACTCTTTTGGCATGCTAAGGTTCTTCTCTGACGAAAAGAACTTTGACGTGGACCAAAAGGTAAATCCCAGGAATGATCGCTGGATCTGTAAAGACCCCTCAGAGATACCTGTCGTGATGCACACGAAATTTCCTGCCTCCGTAATGGTCCTTGGCGTTATCAGCAGTGAAGGTGATGTCATGCCTCCCCATTTCTTTGAGAAGGGCCTTAGGATGAACGCTGACACCTACATCAATGTTCTGGAGACCGTTGTGAAGCCTTTGATGGACATGGTGGCCGCAGGAAGGAAGTATGTCTTCCAACAGGACTCAGCTCCAGCCCATAAGGCAAAAAAGACACAATCGTGGCTGACACTTAACGTCCCTAGTCACTGGGGTCCTGATATTTGGCCCCCTAACTCTCCAGATTGCAATCCCCTCGACTACTATGTATGGGGCGTTGTTGAGAGAGATGTCAACAAAGCTCCTCATACCACCATCCAGTCTGTCAAGAAAGCAGTTCACACGGTGATGACCCAAATGGACAAGGTCATCGTCGCCAAGGCCTGTGCTTCATTCCGCACTCGCCTCGAGACTGTTGTAGCTAATAATGGAAACTTCATTGAATAAATAAAAACTATATCCTTTTATCTACTACTGTGTCAAATTTCATTCGGATATTTTAATTTTACTTGCAAAAAATTTCAGTTAAAATACCATTGTTGAAATTCCCAATTTACCTGGTACACCCTGTATAGAGTCAGGTCAGAAGGAATCACCGTCGTAATACAACCCCAGAAATTAGTTTGTTATCAGACTTATCTGAACATTCTGGGTTGGAGAGAAATAGTAATAATAATATATTTAAAACCTTCTATTTCTCACTACTATATAACTGATGATAATAATAATAAACTCTCACGTTAACACAATATTGGCTGAGAAAACATTTGTTAAGGTATTGTAGAACCCAGGGAAAGCTGTGTTATTCATATTCATAGTACACTCATGGACAGAATATGAAGCAGTGGAAAGTCTTTTATGTCGCTGGCTGTTTTGTTTTATTTTATTTTTTGTTAGAGACAGAGGTAATTTTGTTCACATTTAGTATCTCGTGTGTCTTCAATAAATGTTCCTGTATATAAAATACCTTTCAGAATTATTATCTGAATCTCGATATACAAACTAAAAGATACAACTTCTTTAAGTTTTGTCTCCAAGAGTGTATATTAATTCATATGAATGTAAATTCAGGTTAAAATCATTACTATGACATCAGAATGTCTTCAGATATTTCATGTTCATCATCAATGCTGAAGTGCTATATAGATGAGAGGTCTTTACTTAGCAACGGTTAACTATCAAATCTAATTTGGGGAACGCCTAAAAAGATTACTATTGATGACGTTTTTTGGTGAATGTATCATTATTGGTTGTTCAGATTCTGTTTTAAAACTGGCGCGAAGCTATTCACTTCCATATTAGGATGTTAGGAAGCCAGGAGATAAAGCGCCCTCTTTCTAAGATATTTGAAACTATTTAGTGCGTAATTTTCATTTTTACAAAATAAATCAATTTCCCTCTGTTCTTTCTTCAATAGAGAAAAACTTTGGGAGGACCTTGCTCAAAAATGGCTAATATTAGATCGTTAGAGTGTAGAATGGAGCTAGCGAAACTCCTGGAGGTTTTACCTACGGCCATACCACATTGAAAACACTTGTTCTTGTCCATTACCGAAGTTAAGCAATGTCGGGCCCGGTCAGTACTTGGGAGGGTGACCATCTGGGAACACCAAGTACTGTAGGCTATTGTCTTTTTGGGCTCGAAAATCATACACTTAGATTAGTAGCGCGTAAAACCATATGCTGGAGGTTTCACCACTGATGAGTAATAATATTATAATATTTCCATCGCAGAAAGGAGAGTAGGAAATGTTTATATTTGGATATGTTATTTGATGATCTATCTATATTCCTTACAAAAGGAGAAAATCCGTGCCTCTATTCAAATGATAATCCAAATAATTTTATTTTAATAAAAACTGTATTGTGAAGTTTCGTGAGGGTATCGTTTGCTTTACTTCAAAAAAATTTCAATAAAACCTTCCGAAAGTTGTACAGACTGTCGTAAAATTTTGACCTTAAAGAATAAAATATTCTGTTTTTATTCAGAATATACACTTTCAAGCACACACATATATATAAATTCACAATTATAGAATGTATGTGATTTATAATTAATAATATATTGCCAAAAATGTTGTTTATTTTCTTTGCCTATTCGATTTTAAAATCGAATTAATTCTTATTAGGTGTATATTATTAGGTAAAACGGTACCAAACATACAATTAAATTCTAATAGTTGGTTATTTTTATATAATTTCTTTCTCTCTCTCTCTCGAGATATTCTAATCTGTAATTAAATTAAACGCTTTAAATTAAAATTATATATTCGCATTTATATTGATTTTAATTTATAAGATGATTAAAACTTTTCAAAAGAAAGTAATCTTCAAACTACATATTATAGCCAAGAAATATGTAAAATAGGATTGAAATATTCATCTTTCTCTCTCTCTCAATATCAATGAATTAACGAATATCACAAGCGTGGCGAAGGCTACCATCTACAAGTACCATCTTGGTCTTGAGGTGGGTAATGCCAGTCAACACCTCGACCTGCCCACTCTGTGGGAGAGAACTCTCGCAGTCCATCGGTGGCGGAATCTTTCGCGCCGTGAGCGTCACCAATGACAAAGCCACAACACCCGATGCCGCTAGTTGCGGCGACGGTCAATAGATGGCGTCAGTTTCTGACGTTTATTTTGACGGGAGAGGCGACCATTGCTTCCATGGATTAATTTCCTCCCGGCAAATTTTCCATCTATATATATATATGAAATAAAAATAATTATTTTTTCAATTTATTCCTATACTTATCAATTATATAACCTTATTTATTCGTATTTATTCAATTTTGTAATTAACCATATATAATCTTATATGGACATTATAATAAATCATTTTCAATCTCAATCTCTCTCATTATGCAATTTATTTAACATTTATATAGAAGAGCATATCGATGTGTGGCTATATATATATATTATATAATCTAAAATGCAAATATTTTATTCATTAAAAACATATATTTTACTTCAATCATTGACTATTCGTTCATTTTTGACTATAGGTTTAGAACATACCACATTGAATATTGTTGTAAATATGTATAGTTACCCTACCTATTTTTAATTCACGAATATAGGATTTATTTTATAAATTCTATATTACTGTGAAAAATATTTAATGTTGTAATTCTTTTCAAGTAATTTAAAATAAAAACTACTTGATAAGTAAATAACTATCTTTCCTTTTTCACGACTGCACCTCAAATTCTTTATCATTCAAACATCAAAACATTATAATCATAACATGTATATATAATTTAAAAAATATAATGGAATGATTGAGCTAATTATTGATATATGTTTAAGAGAAAAAATGTTGAATTACTGGGATTGCTTGGGTTAGTTGGAAGGTATTCTGCAGGAATGTGGAAGGCTCTCTTTAGACGGAGTAGTCTGTCGTTAAATCAGTGCTGATGAGGTTTATTGCTCTTCCCCCTCTTGTACTTGTGTGGTATGTTCTGTACGTCATCGCCTCCCCCCTTCGCTCACAGTCCTTCCACATTGCCTCTATACATTTCCTTATTTTTATAATCTAAATATATTCTGTGAAGGTGAGTATTCTAATATTTTCTTTTATTCTCAACATAGCATTTCTTTTCTACGTTTTCTCATTTTACATTATTCTTTCTCTCTTCAGTATTTATATTATACATCTTTTTTTGTAGTTATCAACTTTCGATTACCATAATTATATTGTAAGAATATACACTCAAAAGGAGCTTCTTCTATAGAACATGTTTATCTAGCTATCTTTCGAACGACATCGTTCTTCAACGGGCGTAAAGACAACGTGTGATGTGTGCATACAAGGATTTACATAACTGGTTTATTTCTCGATTTGTAATTCTACCTGAGTTACAATATTTGTATATATCTTGGCTCTCAATGTACATCTATATAATTGCACACATCACACCTTGTCTTTACACACGTTGAAGTACGATATCGTTAGAAAGCTAGCAAAATAAACATGTTCTATATAAGAAGCTCTTTTTGAGTTTATAATCTTATAATTCTTTTTTTTTTGTTTTATATTTGTTTTTTAATCATTTTTTTTTCTTAATCTTATTATTGTCTTTCTTTTATTCATCGATACAAAAATTTAAACCTATTCTTTGTGTTGGTTATTACCACATCTATTATTTCTTTTCATTGTTTATTTTTTATTATATTATTTTCATCTCTCTTTACCCTTTTCTATGTTTGATATTTTGTGTATTTTTCAAACGTTTTGACCAAATTCATTAAGTGACCATTGCTATTTGATTATGGAATTTTCTTCTTTCACTTAATCTACTAATTATTTCTTTCTTTTGTAATATTAAATTTTCCTTCATCCATGTTTATTTGTTCAGGAAAGGGAACAGGAAAGTTCCGACCTTTGTCCCCGGCAGGAGGAGCACTCCAGAAAAAAGAGAGCCGGGGGCTGTTGGTTAAAGACAGTGGTAGAGATCAAAGGAGATGTACTGGGCAGTCTCATGGCTGGAGCCATGTCAGTATGCCTTTTTCTAAGAACATGGCCTTCTTGTCGACGCTAACCTCTGGAGTCTTTATTTCCTTCTCCAATTATATTACAAAATATATATTTAAATCGTATTTAGAATTTTTTTATTATTACAATACATCGAGGGGCAACTCGCCTATCTGTTGTTTGAAAGAAAAAATTCAGATAACAATCAAAATAATAAGACAAATGGGTTATTTGTTTCACATTAAAGGATTGTGTTACATATGTACTCTCTATTTAACAGATATCCCCAGTAACAACGTAAAAATCTCTAAATATAAATATGAATAATTTTCATATACCCATTCTTAAAATAAAAGTATATGAGGTACAATTTAAATTTTGAAAAAAGAGATTCATTTTAGATATTTCAACGATAATCTAAATTTCTTCTGTTTTTGCATATCTTGGTACTACAAGTATAGTTGCATATAATTCATATATTTTAATAATCATATTCATATGAAATCATAAATTTATAGGAAATATATTCATAGGAAATTCTATATATTTTTTACTTTTTATTGTGAAATACACGACTTGATTCAAGACATTTTACAATTCTTTAAAATCTTTATTTTATTATAATATGGCAAAATGATTACCATAAAACATTAGTTTCAAAAAATAAAAGCATATTAAGCTAAGAATGTTTAGATGATTTGAGAGAATAACATTTTTTGAAATTCTATCAATATATTAGATTTTTACACATCAAAAGTTGAAGTAATTAATTTACGTTTTTTTCCCCTTCATATGTAACATTTATACTATATGCTCTCATTATATATATGTGATATATTTGTATATTACAAAATGATAGAATATTAGTCTAAAAAAGGGAAATTCAGGAATATATTTTATAAATTATAAAACTATTATTTAGGCATTTTGTTCAATGATATACTTTATTTTGTTTTGACCATTGCAGTTCGTGTTTACCATTTAATGGTCTGGATCTTCTTATCGTGTTCAACTCCAAGGTTTAGTTAAATCTGTCTCAAATCCCCACAGCGCTCCGACTTTTGTTTTCTTTTAACAGGGATTCACTATATTATCCCGTGAGAGAACTCTGAAAAAACATAGATACTGATGGTCTCTTCCTGGAGGTGGTCTCTCATTGGAGGTAGTTGGATTATATCTCTGGTCAAATTATTTTTGAATATATCTATAGGTACACAGAGATATTGTCATATATCAGATAGTTTTGTAATAAGTCTTAAAACTATCTGAAAATATTTATAATTAATAGTGTTTGAAACTCTTCAGTGTGTATGTGTTGATTTTTATACTCATTCAGTAAGAAAGCGAAATTTCCTTCCTTAAGATTACTTTTTTTTACAGCTTTATATAATTTGAAAATATATTTGGCTATGTACACTCATAAAATTAAGGAAGTTGTTTATTTGTATTTGGTTGTAACTTTTAGCATGTATATCGGGATTAAGACAATGATTCTGAAAGATATTTGATACGGAGTGACCTTTATTGAAAGCACATGAGTTAACCAAGTGTGAAAAAATTGTCTGCCCCTTAAAAAAAATGATGACCGGCGACATAAAAGATTTTCCACTTCCTTAAGTTTTGTCCATGAGTGTATATACACTGAAATTCACAATTTCATACATGGATTCACCTCCCAAGTTTGAAAAGAAAAACCAAATAATAAAGGAACCAACAAAAAGTATTTATATACAGTCATATATGTAGTACGATAATAAAAGGTATATTAATAAAATCTTTCGTCATTTTAGGTTTCCTCTAATTTTGTTTCATTACTTATTTTATCCAGTAGTCTTATAAATTTAATAATGTATATAAAGGAAAAAAAAAGAGATTATCTTGAACTATTTGAAGAAAAAATTAAAGTACATTTCGAAGTATTGCATCCTCTTTCTCTTTATTTCTAAATACTTTTTATTATTCCATAGACTGAGAAAAAGAGCAAAATCCCTGGAAATATTCAATTTTTCGCAATTTATTTTTTATTATAAAACTATTTATATTGTATATATTTTATCACTTCTATGACATATTAAATGGATTTTATTCAACTCAAGATATATGCATCTCTCTCCATAAATGTAAATTATGAAACACTGTTTTAAA